CTCTGTCCTGCAGGGCTGTCTTCCTTAAAGCACCGCCTGGATGGGAAAGGGGCTGCAGGTGCTTTGCCCGGATTCTTATTCACAGCTGACCTGTCTGCACCTGGTAGGCTGCGAGAGTGCAATGTGATGTAAACACGCCGATGTCACTGTTCAGCGTGTGTGTTTGGTTCTCTGTTTGGGCAATCTTGGACAGAAACACGGGAAACCTTAAACAGCAGGGCTAGCACGAGTGTTCACAGCCAAAGCCAGGGCTTTGGTAAAAGAAGAGCCGAAAGATTTGAAACCTGGAAAAATGAGCTCATGCTAAGTTAACTTGAGAAAAACTCAACAGCTGAATCGGGGTGTCCTGGCTGTGCTTTGGCAGCTGTGCCGGCAGCTGGCCGCGCCGCGGCAGCAGTGCTCGCCTGCAGCAGGGCAGCGCTGGCACGGCTGAGGCAGGGCGGCAGAAGGCAGGCCCCGCTAATCACCTGCCGCTGGAAGGTTAGGAAGTGGGACAGGAAGGCAGCTGAAGTGGAATTTTAATTGCCTTCCTTCCATCACAAACAAGGTTTACTTCGGGCATCCTGCTGCTACTCTAATAGGACACGCTTCGGCCTCAGCCAGCAGCCCACATTCATGGGGCTCCTGGCTTTGCTCTGGAGCCGTTTGAGGGCTCTTCTTCCAGCAAAAGTGACAGCCCTGAGCTGTGCTGGTGCTGCTCCAGCTGGCTCCCTGCCCCTCAAGCTGGAAATCGCCATCCCCACAGCAGCGGAGCAGGCTGTGTAGCCGTGTAGCCACCGTGCCTTGGCTGCTGCTCACAACTGGATCTATCGGACTAACCCACTGGTGAAGGCCAGGCTGTGAGCTAGCGCTTAGCCCGAGGCACAGAGCGTGGCAGCCTGTGCTAACTCTAACGGGGCACAGCGGTGGTAATGCCTTACGCCACTTCAGCTGTTCACTTCGTGAAGGCAATCTGAGCCTTAAGTCGCTGCATGCTGGTAAAGGTCCCTGTGCTACGTGGCAGAGTCACCCACTCCTTCAGCTACCACTGACATCTGGTGCAGCTATACAGATGCTAATGAGAAACCCCAGACCCTTGCTTTACTTGGAAGTGCCAGGAGAGCTGGACACAGTTTGTAGTCCTTCAGCTGTTTGGGGGAGGGAAGGCTATATAAGATGAGGAAGAAAAGCAAGGTCCAGTATACTCTTGCCCAAAGGCTCTTCAAGTATCTGAACTGACACAGGATAAGAGGGACAGTTTTGTGAATTAAAGAAAACAAAGGTTAAAAAGAAAAATAAAAAACATGGAAAACAGAGATGGAAGTAAACAGTGAATTTTTCACAGTGATGAGAGCTCAGAGGTGGATGCTAACGGGCTGCACGCTTATGAGGCACACATGGAGAATATGAGTAAAGAGCAACCATCAAACAACAGAACATGGCATCCCAACCAGAGGGGTCTCTGAACACGTTTAGTGAATTCTGGAATTTCTTGCAGGCGGTGATATGGTACCACTAAAAGTTTACCTGGATTCAGAAAAGGAGTGGAAAACTTCATGGAAAAATAAGTCAACCAAGGGCTATTAAACAGAACAGCCATCCCATCTGGCTCAGAAGCCTCTTTGGCCATCAGCTGCTGGCAACAAGGAAAAGTACTTCAGGGAAATGGCAATACATGCTTGTCCTCTTTATTCTTCCTTCCTAGTCACCTGCTGATGACTGCGGTCAGAGACTGGCTGTTGGTTTAGGTGGACCTATGTTATGACTCACTTGGCCCTTTCTCATGTGTTTTGATCATTTATGTATGTGAAACTTCCACAGGAAAATCAGGCCACAAATCAAAGAGACTGAAAGCCCCTAGCCTAAGTAACTATTAAAAATAGTTTGAAACATCATCCCAACTCTACTTCAATGGCAAAACAGAAAGAACTTAAATGAAATATTTTTTTGAAAGCCAAAGTGAAAGCAGTTGGATGTTTCCAGCATGTCAGGGTCTGATGCAGTGTACCCTAGAAGACTTACTTGGGAAAGTGAAGCAATGTTTCTGATTTTGATGAGGAATGGGGCTGGGGAGAGGGAGGGAGGAAGAGAGAGAGGTCAGGGCCAAGGGAATTAGATCAGTCTGTAAAATCAATTAATGAAAAAAAATACTGAAAAATGCAGTCAGTAACCTGTAAACACATAGCTAATCAGGTAAAAAGTAATGATTAGCACACCTATATCACAGCTACATCAAGCACAAATCATATCGAGTCAACTTACTGCCTTTCTTTGGCAGAATATCTGGGCTTTATTAAGACTTCAGGCAATGCTTTATATGCTATTTTTATAAGTAAATCAGGGAAGGCCTAGTAGAGCTGTAATGGATCTAGTATGTTTCAGTACAGAAGATAATATAATTGATAGCTTAAAAGTCCAAAATAATTTACATCACCACCATTAATGTAAAACACTTAGAAGACAAATTTAGGATTGAAAATGATCTTGACCAAGTGAAAAAGTGATCCAGGAGAGGGAGAAAAAAAAATATATTTGACCTCACTGAATTGCAAAGTTTTGCACTGAGGCAAAACCCACCAGTAACGTGTGTACAAGAGGGGATGCAACAGGCTTGGCAGCACATCTGTAAAAGACATTTAAGCTGGGCAGGTTATGGTGAATTTTCAAATGAACATACATTTAAAACATCATGGAAGAGAACAAAAGCTGCCTGGGCAGGCTGAGGTTTGTAGGTCTTATGAAGAAATCTGTCTGTACACTCCGTAAAGCATTAAGAAAGCCCCAGATAAGACTCCATGGCTTCAGTTTTGGGCTCCACACTTCAAGAAAGGTGTGAATTACCTGGAGCGAGCCCAGTGGTGGGCAATGAGAATGACTGGAGGTCTACAAGTACAGCTTCTAAGGAAACCTCAAAAGAGTTGCATTTTTTATGTCTAGAGAAGGGTAGAGGGCAGAGAAGGAGGGAAATAGGGAGTGTAATGATAAAATTCTGAAATACATGAGAGGTAGGAGCAAATAAGGCAATAATATGCTCTCGGTGAACACTGCAGATAAGATGCAGTGGGCTTAAAATAAAGCAGGAGGGATTTAGATTGGCTGCTAGGAAAATATTTCCCTCTGCAAGAACAGTAAAGCTGAGAGTTACTGTGGTATCTCTGTCACTGGAGATCTTGAAGCCCGGGAGAGAGCAGGACCCACCAGTGATGAACAATTTGCTCACGTCCCCATGGTGGGGCTGCGTAGTTTCTCGAGACCCCGTCTAAATCCATTTTCCGTGGTACATCCCTGTGTGCGAAGGAGATGCCTGGTTGGGGGGAAATGGACAGAGAGATGACATGACATGGGGACACGACTTTCTCCTGGCTCTTTGGAAACCTCATGGGCGCCTTGCTGGCTGCTGCTCAGCTCCCCCAGCACAGACAAGCCCAGCCGTGGTCGGGGCTGGCAGGGGCTGGCATGGCAGAGGATGCTGGCTGTCGGATGGGCTCTGCTGTGGCCCCTGGCCCGTGCGTGACGGTCAAGCTGCGCAGGGCTGTGATCCCTACTGCCGGGCTCCCATGCAGTGAGAGAAGAATAGCTGACATGCTTGCAAGGACCTGGAACAAAGCAGGGGCTGGGCCCCGCCAGCTGGGCTCCTCTCAGGCATTTCCGAAGGGCAGCTGGCCGCTGCGTGGCAGGGAAGGAGGGTGAGACATTCCTTTCCCGACTGCAAACGTGTAGGTCCATCCTCTGTGGAGACAGAGGGGGTAAATCCCATCCCATGGACGTGGCAGGCAGGGCTGCCCTACTGTGATCTTGGCATCCCTCCGCGTGGCGTCAGTGAAAGCAGAGCAGAGGATGGGCACTGCCAGGTGCTGGGGACAGGCTGG